CTGAGATGACTCTGATTCTTCAGAAGATAATTATGAGGATGAGCAAGTGACGTGAAATTAATGGCAAGCCTCAAAGCTTATGATGAGAAGATTCAGGCAGAATTAGAATCAAAATCTGAATTAGATTCAGAAGAGGTATTTTCTAAACTCCCTCGCTATGAATTAAAATTTTGTTTCAGTAAGATTTTGGAAAAATATCAGGAGCTTCAGAAAAAATACAAGGATCTGAAACAAGTTCATGTATCTGAATATGAGGCATACATCAAGCTTAAGAAAGAATTCTCCATTTTAAATGAAATTTTTTTATTCTTAAGAATAACAACTCTGCCCTCAAAAGCAAGAGTTCTAAACTTAAGGAAGAAATTCTTTCAACAACTTATGTAAGTTCTGATGATGTCATATAGAAGTATGACAAATCTTTTCAGAAATTCCCTTCTAGAAGCCTAGATAGAAGCATAATGACTTCAATGATCCATGGTGTCAACAGAAACGGAACAAGAGGAATTGGTTATGATTCTGATGAATAATCTTCTTTTGAAAAAGATGAAAAACCAAATACTCTTAAGCCTCACTTTATACTGGTTGATTATGTGCCTATAGAAAAACTTATTTCAAAACATAAGGCAAAACTAAAAGCTACACCTCATCGTTTTTACTATTCGTATAAATATGTTTATCCTACTCACAAACCCAAGTTTGTTAAGAACTCTGGGAGTACTAACAAGAAATGACCCAAAAGAATGTGGGTACCTAAAGATAAGATAATTGGTGTTACAAATATCATTTATAGCCAAGTTGAAACACCAACCATGGTATCTAGACTCTGGGTGCTTGCGATACATGACAAGAAGAAGGCATATGTTCCAAAGTCTGGAACTTAAGCTCGGTGGCTTCGTGGGTTTTGGAGGTGTAGAAAGGGAATACCATAGGCTCCAGAACAGTAGGTAATGGTAATCTCCCTTTTATTACTAATGTCTTACTTGTTGATGGATTAATGCATAATATATTGTCCATAAGTCAATTAAGTGACAATGGTTATGATATTATCTTTAATCAAAAGTCCTGTAAAGTTGTTAGTCAAAAGGATGGCTCCATTCTTGTCAATGGCAATAGAAAGAATAACATCTATAAGATTAGTCTTTCTGACCTTAAAGAACAAAATGTTAATGGCTCATGTCTGTTAGTGAAGAGAAATGGATATGACATAGACGATTGGGTCATGTTAGCATGAGAAATATTTCTCAACTAAATAATCTTGAATTAGTCAGAGACCTTCCCAAGCTAAAGCTTTTTTCAGATGCTCTTTGTGAAGCATGTCATAAAGGCGAGTTTTCTAAAAAATCTTTCAAACCAAAGAATTTTGTATCTATATCTAGGCCTTTGGAACTCTTCAATGGTTTTGAAAACCATTGAAAAATAATCACGATCTTCCACTATTTTGATAAGTTTGATTACAAGCATTTTGGTTACAACAAACTATCAAATGATAATTTCCTATGTTGATGCAAATACTTAACTGCTAACAAAAAGAAGATTTCTAAAAGATATTGATCCAATAATCTATCTATCTACAATAATTCTTCTCCAAGTACTCATATATGGAAATCCACCTGATCTCTTGTCTGAGCGATTTCCATAGTCAAGCGTTGATTGGAAAACTCCCAACTTTGTCTGCATGCAATCTTTCTCCAACTCCGCCAAAGATGGACAAATTCCATCCCCGGCTTATGGATAATTGATACTAAATCTCACCAAAGTATTCATTGGAGAATAACGGAAACTTTATTCTTGATGAATAACACCAAGCACCAAACAACATTCAAGAAACAATACTTGCACATGTTACAAACAACAAACTTCACACAAAAACATTAAGATATCCAAATGTATCACTAGTCTCCCTCAACACTTAAACTTTAGAGATGAATGTTCTCAACAATGGAAGAAAACTAAGAATGAAGATGATGAATAGTGCCATAATATCTGACAAACACTCTAAAGACACAAGGTGTTAGTCAAGGGTTTTAGATGAATGTGAATAAAGAACACACACATAAGGTTCTTTCAATTTTCTAGGTAAATAGGTCTTGGCTTTGATTGTCATCAATATGTTGATTAATCATGAACAACACATCAATATTAATCAACTCTCCTCTTCACTCAACTCAATAACTAATTGTACAAGAACAAGATGCAACAAACAGGAGAATGAATTTGACATGAATTCTTAATCAAGAAGTTGTTCTTAGAGAAGAAGAGAAGGAATCATGGTGATGGGTATAAACACTTTAAGAATAGAAGACAAAATCACTATTTGTCTATATGGGTTTCTCCCATAGGTTTCACTCATGTGTTACTTTTATCAAAGAAAAAAATATTTAAATCAAGGATGAAAAATGGGTTTTGAAGCTTTGATTCAGATCAAGTGAAAAATGTGATTCAAATCAATTTGAGCAGAGTCAAAATAAAGCTTCAGGAATTCAGTTGATTCAAATAATTTTTTGCACTTGATTCGGATCACATAGTTGGTTCTTTAAGGTATTTGTGTAATATCAGACCTGATATTTGCTATGCAGTTGGAATGGTTAGCAGATTTACGAGTAAACCAAAATAGTCTCATTACCAAGCTGCTATCAGAATTCTGAGGTATGTGAAGGGAACTATGAAGTATGGAGTGTTATTCCCGTCTAGAAGAAAGATCGAATCAGAACTTCTGAATTATTCAGACTCTGATTGGTGCGGAGATAGAGTGGACAGAAGAAGTACTTCTTGGTACTTATTCAAATTTCTGGGAGGTCCTATTTCTTGTTGTTCCAAGAAGCAACATGTTGTTGCGCTGTCAACCTGTGAAACTGAATATATTGCAGACGCTCTGACTGCATGTCAAGCTGTGTGGATTCTGAACTTGTTGTAAGATCTGAAGATTGAAATAGCCAAACCTCTGAAGCTGATGATTGATAACAAGTCTGGAATCAATCTTGCCAAGAACCCAGTGCTGCATGGGAGAAACAAACATATTGAGACAAAATATCACTTTATGAGGAATCAAGTTCAGAGCGGAATATTAGAAGTTGTGCACTGTAGCACTCAGAAGCAGTTGACAAATATTCTAACAAAGGCTATCAAGACTGATCAATTTCTTCGCTCGAGGGATGAAATTGGTGTTGTCAGTTTTGGATAAAATATAAATTAAGGGATGATGTTAGATTTAATCTATATTTTAGAAATATATTTTGGATATTAATCTATATTTTAGGAATATCTTTTTAGATGATATTATTATATCCTTTTATATCTTTGTTAGAGAATATTTAGGATTTTATTTTGTGTATAAATAACCTAGTGAGGTAACTCAATGTAATTCATTGTAAATCATTATTCCTTATTTTTGTAGCCGTCATTAAATATATTTCTTCTGTCTTTCATCTCTTTTTTGTGCACCAACATGGTGAATTAAAATCCAACACATGATATCTCGTACTGATTCACGGTATCCCTATTTTGATCAAAGACAATATTGCCACCTTTCATAAACTCAACACTATGATATCCCGTACTTGGATCTATTTAAAAACTTCTTCAAATATAGATTGTCTTACGAGAAAACAACCAGCCCAGTTCTACAGTCCAGTTTTGTTATTTTTTTCTTTGTCAAAGATCTAACTTTAAGTTCTTTAATTATTAAGTAGTCTCATTAATTTTGGTTTAGTTAAAAAATTATTTTATTTCGTAATCTACGTTCCAATTCCTAAAACGACATGAATTCAAAATATTCATTTGTCACAAATTAAAAATAAAAGCAAGTCAAGCTCAAGATGATCGATATCGTGCCAACAATCACTGCCTCAAAAACTTACCACAATATTTCTTCCATCATTCCTAATAACTGAAATTGTCTCTGCCAAATCAACAAAAAAAACACACTAGAATCTTAAACCAAAATTACACTTCATAGCATAGCTCAAAAAGAAAATATATGAAAGAAACATTAAAGAGAAAAATCCTATTTTAGTTTCTTAAACATAGACACACTCATATCAGGCTCATTGGAATCTTTTGGTTACTATTCCATTTTTAAAATTTTTGTAGCTTTTTAACAAAATTAGTGTGCATAACAAGTTTTAGAAGCATAAGCTCTAGGTAACTCATATCTCTAGTGGCAAATAAACACAAGATTATTAGAATCAAGACTCTAGTCTAAAAAAAGAATAAACTTTGATATTAAAAGCGTTCAACCGAATCGACCTCACTTTAAGAACTCGTTAACTTTTAGTTAAACCAAATCAAAACTCTCAAAGGTTTCATACACTACAAAAAAAATTAAGGAAATTGCGGCACTCTCAAAAATGACATTTTACGACAATTTGAACCGCCATAATTAACAAAAATGGCTGTTTATAGAAACGTCGTATATGTAGATGCCACTAGGAATAAAACAGCGGTTTGCCATAGACCGCAATACAAACCGCCATAATGTACCATGTTGAAAATGGCGTTTCTTTAACCGTATACATGGGCGGGTTGAACCGCCACAATTTCCATTGTTTTTTCAAAAAAAAAAAAACGAAATATTATAGTCATGTAGAAAATTAATTTAAAAACATTTTCGAGTAACGCTATTGACTTGGCAAGGAAAGATTAGTCATGTAGAAAACATCATTATACTACTAAATGTGATTCAATCAAGAAAGAATATATGTTCTTGGCAGAAATGACAAGAGATATTGCAAAGGTTTATATAAATATCTTTTTTCTGGGCACATATATCTATGGAAAAGAAAATGACAGATCCTCTAGCTCCAAGCTATATTATCAAACCTTGTGAGTTTCATCATGCTCATTATTTGTCGAACTCCATAAATCAATCAAAGACGAGTGGTGTTTATTTACCATTAGATGTAGTTCTGAAAGAAACATGAAGAAACTTCATGCATAAAACCAAACAAAATCTTCTAATTCACTCACCACTCTGCGGCGCATGAGCATTCAACGGTGGATTTTCAGTTCTGAATGTAAAATAACAGCAAAAGTGAGACATATTGAGATAAAAACCCAAACACTGATCTAAAGTGTTAAATTACAAAATTCTTGAGATATCCCCTCCCAACCAAGAAGCCACATCGTTTAAATTTAAGGGACTGCACTAAACGGTTCCAATCAGCACTCAAAACTAAAGAACCCAAACATACACCAATTAAAGAGGAACATATTCACTCACAAGCATCTTCGTACAAAACATAAATCTATGAAACTAAGAGTGAGCCCTAATGAGTTGGACTAGTTTAGGTAAATAGTGGCGGTTAAAGTCAACAATATTACGTCGTTATAAAAAACCGACACAATTAACGGTAAATTGTGGCGATTTCAGTAACCGACGTTTTTTTGGTAATGATATTAGCGATATGATTCAGAGAGAGATTATCTTCAAAGAAAACTTAATTGCAGAATATGTTACCTAGATTCCAAACCGCAACAATCAAAGAGACTAATTTGATCAAAAAATATTTAACTAGAATTTGTGAATCAACGATCAAGCAAAATTAGATTAGTAAGTAAGTAACCATAATAATCACACTTCATGAAGACAAATAATAATCTATAATAGAAATGTTTTAAAATGGTATTGAAAGCCAACACTAATGTCATGTTTCTATTTCAATGCTACCAAATGACAACCAATTATAAAAGAGTAAAGAAGAAAAACAAGTTAGAAATAAAAAAGAAAGAGAAATAAAATAATCCATCCAATGTTCAGAATTGAGATATAGCCACTAAATGCCATTGAATAATTCCGAATTAGGTGATCCAAATTATAATATAAACCAAAGAACTAAGAAAGTCATTCAAAGTACACTAAACCCTAAAGGCACTCTTCTACAAGAATATATAAAGAACTTGAACTTAGACTAAAAAAATCAAATGAAAGCACAATAGACCAACCAATTGCAGAACTGTAGATTTTGGAGCAGCAGAACAGAGCAACAAAAAACCTAATTGTTGATTTGCGATTAAATGAAGGAAAAATTACGGTTCAGATGATTTATAGGGTTGATTATTAGGGTTCCATATCAATACAGACACTAAAGAGGTGTGATTCTTAATACAATTCATTGTTAGGGTTTGAATTTAAATGAAAGAAAAAAAATTGAAATTGAAAGGGTTCATGGGAGACTGGACGAAAGAAAGGAATCAGATAAATTTGAAATCGAACATTGCAATTTGGGAGAAAAGTTTGAATACGAGGTTGGAGATCTTTGAAAGAACTCGAGGAGATAAATGCATTTTTGTTTTTCTTTCACTTAGGGCATGTTTGGATTGAAGGAAAGGGATGGAGTGGAATGGAATGGAACCATGTTCCATTGTTTGGTTTTACGATAAATGAATGGAGTGTGATAGAACCCAACCAATACCACTCTTTCAGTCAATTTTTCATTCCCCCCAAATTGGGGTGTATCAAATGGAATGAAATCAATTAAAAACACAATTACAATTTTGTTTTCTAATTTTTCACTTTTATTAGCTGTTTCAATTCATGTGATATTTTTCTTTTCTTTCACTAGAACTCTTTTCCGTCAACAAAAACTTCTCTCTTGCAAAGTGTCTATCTGTCTTCAACCCTAACAAGATACTCCCTCCGACCTTATTTATAAGCAAAGATGCTCTTTTTAGGTTCATTGAGTAATGAATGTATCTGGTCTACATAAAAGACTAGATACATTCATTATTCAATGAACCTAAAAAGAGAATATTTATTTATAATAATGGCCATAGGGAGTACATCATATTTCTTCTCTTTTTTATATGTGTTGATTTATTTTCATGTTAATCTCACTACGCCAAAACTGCTTTAAGGCAGCGCACCTTAGACAACCCTTCTATATCAAAGTGCTGCTATATGTCCCGATAAAATTTTAAATTTTAAAACTATATAAATTAGACATCGCTTTACAAAAAAGCGTTGCATAAAATTGAGAAAAAGCGTTGCCTTAGGTTCATTAAAGAAAGCGCTGCCATATGTCAAACAGAAGAAAGCGCTGCTATAGGCCCAAAGCGCTGCTATATGCCCAAAGCGCTGCTAAAACCACACTTTAGGCAGCGCTTTCTAAAAGCGTTGCCTAAGGTTAATTAAAATTGAAATAAAAAATAAATTCTAGAAAGCGCTGCTAAATTCAAAGCGTTGTCATAGGCCCAACAATAGAAAGCGCTGTCATAGGTCTAAAGTGTTGCTAAAGCCACACTTAGGCAGCGCTGTCTAAAAGCGCTGCCTAAGGTTAATTAAAATTGAAATAAAATATTACAGTCTAGGTTTTGAGTCGTTACTTTCTATTCTCCACTATTCTTCTTATGCAAAATGAAAAATTTCCAAATTCACGAAAAACCCTAAATCTACAAAACTCTCAATCTCAAACTCTCAAACTCTTCATACGAACTTCCGTCGTTGAATCGTCGTTCTCCTTCCATACTCTTTTTCAGCTCACTTTCCGTCAACCTCACCTTTCACTATTTACACTGGCCAGCCTTCAACAACAACTCATGGTTAGACCTCAATCTGGCTATCTCTCTTCGCACATTCTGTTTCGGTCCCAACCATACTTTCTCTGTAAATTTCCGGCACTGGCATCACTGTGGTACTTTATTTACTTTCCTCTTACTCACCATTTATTTCCCATACAAACTTCCGCCCTCCATTGATTTCTCAAACTCGAAGAAAATTTCACTATTGATTTTGCCGTTTAGACGTTACTGCAATTGGTGTTCGCATAACATGTCACTTCTTCTTTTCATGTGTGTAAGTTGTTCCTTTTTTACATTTTGAGACCTAACTCTTCTGCTCACAATATATATATATATATATATATATATGTGTGTGTGTGTGTTAAATTTTGTGTGAATTGAAGACTGAAATTGTGTGTAATAAAGCTTAACTAACTCTCGGTCTTAACTAATAACTAATTCTTATTTCGTACACAGAATTTTGACTGATTTAGTTTCTGGGTTTTCCCCCTTTGAATACCATATAATATAAAATGTCGTGTGTTGTTAATTATAAAGCAAATGTGTTAGCATCTTTTCGCATCTTGTTTATAAGGTTTAATGACTTAGAGAAGTTCAAGAATAATACTACTACCTTTATTCGATAGTGTATTATTAAGCGCAAAGTATGCTGTAAAAACAAGAAATTTGTAAGAGTTAATACTTAGTTCCATATAGCCCAATTATCTTCTTTTGAACTGGTCTTCTAAGCATAGTTTTATGCTGCAATATAAATTTTTGAATATATCTTCACTCTCACCGCATAAAATGTTTATAAGAAAGGTCTAATGTTGTAAACTCACCTATGGAATTTGATGTGGTAGAAGGAAAATCAATAACAAGACCATCAACAAATTCGTCTTTTGCTATAAATTGTAGGTACTCAGCAGTATGATCATAGTTATAATCATAACTTGAAAAGAAATTGTTAGAAAAAACAGAAGCATACACTTCTAGTCCTTGTTTATGTGCATCAGATACTAGGGTTGTGAGAGGCCCTAAGTAATTGTCTGGTTTAACTAGACATATGTATTTTTTCAGCACCATTATGCCAGATGCATATGACTTGATTGTCTCGACATTTTTAGTACTTTATCAACTAGATTTACGATGTGTTAGTCATAAGACACTTCATACTGCAACAAAATAATCAATTTCAAAATAAGAACAATGTTATAAAATTATTACATGTGTTATGATTCATGTCAAGATATAGCGAGAGACATAACTTGGACATTCAACCAGAGCATTGGTGGAGATTTGCTACTTAGATACCATGTACATTGAGTACTGGAGACAAGCCATCGTAGAAACTCGGACGAGAAAAAATAGCCTGATTCACTTCAACTTTATAATAAAGAATCTCTTAGTTGAAGACTTACTTGACACATTATGGTCAATCTGAGCAGCAAGGTAATTCACAGAGAAAGAGTGTTAGCATCTTCCTGTAACACTTAAACATGTAACAAAATTAAAAAAAACAACTTATTAGCCTCTTCCGCGGAAAGCTCCTTACACAAGCTCTCATCTCTAGTTAACTCCAGTGGCAGAGCATGGGTCCTAATCCAGACTTCTGAAAATAATGAAGTATGCATTAGTTTCACTAGAAATGAAATATCACAGTTTCACATAGTTTCACTTGTTAATTCAAATTAGATAAAGTTTCAAATACTTTTTTTAATTAAATTAAAGTTAAAAGAAAGCAATCACGTCAAAATTGTTAAGGAGTAGTACTAATATGTATATCATTAAAGTCTGAATTGAAGTAATTGGATGGACAAATTGATGAATTTTCTGAACTTAAATGAGATATTCTATATTTTACTTCTTTTTCCTATAACTCTATATGTCATGACAGTTTTTATCATATATATCTTGCTGCAGCGCATGAGGGATTGCACTGTCAACTTTAGTTTGATCCCACTGCAGATCTGGTCTATGCATGAGCTTCTTTTAACTATTGAAGTTGCATGCTTTTCCTTTGTTTATCATATCCAGGTATCTCATTTCAAATGATACTTCATTCTAATTGGTACAATTAAGTTTTCACTGCAAGAAATAGATAAAATAATTTTGGAAATTCTTTTATAATTTTTATGTAGAAAATGTAATTTTTCTGTTGAAAGTTGAGAAATTTTAGTGCCTAGATATTGATGTATAGTGTGATTTTATTGATGTGTACATTCTTTAGGATTTTGTTGTAAATAAATTTCTAGATATTATTCCATGGATTGATTGATTAGTAATCTAATTGTGGTGTCTTGTGAATCAAATGTTGTAGACTTGTAGGTGTGTCGTTTAATAATATCATAAAATGTTAATGTTAATTTCTAAATAAATAAATTAGTGTTCGTTTGGAAGTTTGGATTAAAGTTTGTAATAAGTATTTTTTATTAAATTGAGTTTGTGATTTCAAGTTTATATATTTAAACAAAATACTTTTAACTTTGAACAAAATATATATTTGAATTGATACATATGTGTACTTGTCATTCTTTTTTCTGATCATTCATTTATATAGCTTCTCATTCATTTTTTTAGCATGATAAATGTTGGTAAGGAATATCTTTTCTAGGGGTTACATGTGAAGAGTGAAGTTCAGATCGTTTCCAAGAATATTATAATGTGTGGTTCCAGAAGTTGATGACTTCTCTATAGGTAATTAGTTGTTCTTTTTCTATAGTTGCGGGAATAATTATAGTGTTTTTGTTTAGCTTACTTAGTAGTAAAACCATGGATAAAAAATGGATGTCTGTCGATAGATTGTCAAAAGAGTACGAGAATAGGGTATTAGAATTCATTAAGTTTGCTTTTTAACACGCCAAAAACCCCAATCGAATGAAATGTCCTTGCTTGGGTTGTTGTTATGGGGGTCGGGTTGATGCAGTTGGGTTGAAATCGCATTTACTGAGGTATGGAATTGATCGAAGTTATACATGTTGGATATTTCATGGTGAGAAAAGTAACAGGAATGTTGAACCGTGGAATAGTATGGCATATGTTGGTTCTCCTTTCTATTTCATCCTATCTTTAAGTTTTCTCTTGGGGGATCACCAAGCACCTCAAATTGTGTATCTTATACTTGTGTTCTTTTAACTAACATCAAAATATGTATATATTTTGAATGTTCATATTGTAGGTGATGACACAATTGCATTCATCTCACCATCTCTTAGCATAGAGGGTTAAAACTAGGATTTTGAATTTAATAAGGAAATCTCTGACTTTTTGGGCAAGACTTAATTCTATGCTTCTCTAAATGTTCATGAGCATCTATGACTGGAGGATTGATCATCAACTTTGATTGGAAAAGATTCAATTAATCAAAAGGGGGCAAAATGGTCATTTTGTCAAAAGTCAACCAAAATCAAAGTTAACCAAGTGGACTTTTGGTCAACCATCAATTCAATGTCCCTATTTTCACATTTCATGGTCAATGGTAACATAATATCAAAAGGAATTGTTGAATTAGAGATAACTTGTCAAAGAAGTTACCTGAAGTTTTGAATTTTTCTGTGTTCATAGTGTTGAATTTTGATTGATCATAACTTTCTCAATTTTTATTAAAAATATGCAAACTTTATATGGTTGGGAAGAGGAGGAAATGTTATTCAGTTTTGTCCTTGACACAAAAAGTTCAAAAAGTGAAAGGAGAAAAATTATTGAGCTTGGAAAATTCTGGACACTTAGTGAAATTTCTAAATATGTGCACAAGACCTGATTTCTTCATGGCTAATTTTAAATGTCCATTTGAGCTCAAATAAAAAAGTTGTCAACATAAAAATTGTAGTTTGAAACTTTATCTTCACTTTTGATTCATGAATCATCTTAAATGATCAAGTGTGGAGAGAGATATAAGGTTTGGGATTTAGGCCTGAAGATGGCAAGTTTGCCTAGCAAAACGAGGCCTCGCGCGTGGAATTTGATCAAACAGATGGTGGGCATACCTTCACCATCACTTTTCTTGTTGAATTAATCATAATTTCAAAAATGTTTGAACATCAAAGTTGGGGATTATTGTGTCCCCTTTAATTTTGGTCCAAGGCTCGTTTCGGTTTGAGCATTATGGAGAAAGCTGTAGGGAGGTGAACTTAAGGGCATCATGTGCTATTTTTTCCGGCCAAAAGGCATGCCCGTGCGCGCATTAGGCCAATCATTACATCAAACATTTGATGTGCCCATGTTCATGATGCTTTATCTCGTGATTCAAGCTTCATTTGATAAAGTGATTCAAAAGGAAGATGTAATAGGATGTATAAGATACAATTTTCTCTTTGGTTTACCATATTTGGATTATTATTGAGAAAGATATGATCCTTTAAATTCAAGATATCAAAATTACCTTGTCATGCAATGTCTACCTGCAGCACGCGCGTGCCAGGCCTTCCAGATTCAAGTTTTCACTAACTTCATGTCAACTTTTCACCCAATTGCAAGCCTCATTTATCATTTCCATCAACTACAATGTTGTTGCTCATCATGAGAGCTTTCCAAAGGCTCCATTTTCACAAGAAACACATGATGTAAAGTTGAGATACAATGAATTTGTCATGGCTGGTCCAAGAGATGCATAGCACGACAAGCATGAATTCTTGTGCATGAGAGAAATTATGTTGCATGATGTTTATCATGTACCTCATGCACATTACACACATCATTATCTCATCATTATTATTTTCAAATCAAGTAATTCACATAAAGCATGTTCACGAATTTCGCAAATTCTTGCCAAAATAAGAAAAAATTTATCCCCTCCTATGTGCAGTCTTCCAGCTCACCATTCTCACACTCATTTCACTCGTTCCCTTTCTCTTTTAACTCATTAAAATGCAAGCATTGCATCACCAATTGAACATGAAACACAAGCCTCACATGGATTCACTCAAATATGCCAACTTGACCTTTCTACCCTCAAGGAAACTTCCTCAATACTCTTCTTCACTCTATATAAATTCTTCTTCACTCTCATTACAAGAGAGAATATTAATTCACGAGAGGCACTCTCATTCACTCATAATAAACTTTTAAAGTTTTCTCTTCACTCTTCCAATCTTCCTTCGAAGCTAATTTCTATTTCTTGCTCTAGAGCTTTCATCTTCATCAATTCATCTTCATTTAAGTTCAAGAAGCAAGATCAGACAGGTTTCTTTTCATTTGTTCAGAGGCACAAGTGAATTTATTTTTCACTTTTTGAGGTGACTTTTCAAATCTGGATTCCTCTCATGCTAGCTTGATTCAATGCATCATATATTATTTATGTGTGTTTAACTGGCCAGATCTTAGATCTGATGTAGAAACTTGTGTGATTTGTTGCTTGATTTGTTCTCTGCAAATTGCATGAAAACTACATGATACAGTGATTTCGTGCTCTCTTTATGCGTCGATCTTGCTTCATTTTGAAAATCCATAAGCATCATTGTATTCCTTGTTAGTTTGTGATGAATTTTGATGTTTGGATCATTTGATTTGGTTGAGAATCGAGTAAGATATATGGATCTGAAAACTGTTTGATGGAATGCTTAACTTGAAATCATGTTTATGCAGCAACTTCCGTGCCCTGATTTCTCTATGATTTATGCATCATTTTATGAAAATCTTGATCCTATTGCGTTCTACGCATTTAAATCTTGAACTTTGATGTTTACATTTTGAATTTTCATGGAGAAATGAGTGAGATACGAGTTGGAGAACATTGCATGTTGAATTGCTTTTCGAACAAGTTAGGATTATCATTTGGTAGGGATGATTATGTGGCTTGTTTTAATTGAGCATGGATGATTTCTTTTTACAGCGCTTGTAGCTAAAAACAAATGTAGTAGATCTGAACATTGTTTGAATTTCTTTCATTTTAATTTTTTTTACAAATTATTTCAAATAGTTTCAACTTTTCAAAAATATTTCAAACTTCATTTAGGGTCTATTTTCATATTTCAAATTTTATTTCATAATTTTGCCATTTTGAATAAATAATTAATTAATGTAGATTAATTAGGTGTTTTAATTATCTTTTAGGTTTTTGATTTTATTTTCTAATTTTCATCAACCTA